AATACAATGCATTCTGTTGCTGTAATCCCTGTTTGTCGCCTTCAGCGTACATCATCTGAAGTAAAATAAATTACTGCTTGTGAAAATGTACACAAAATTAGTATCTAAGATCATTCTAATTTGAGTTCATGAGAAACAATATAGCGATGGTTACTAAAATAAAGCATCGAATCCGTTTTTATTGAGTATTTTTAAACGTGCAAAATAGCTTTCAGTCCAACTCCCATGGAACTACAATGTGAAATACAATAGAGTCACGTTCCATATGATGTAGGAATCTCGCCACAGTTTCCACTGTGTTTGAAGGAACCGAAGGTCAATATGTGGACAACAATGTCGAAAGAATCACAGATAGTGATAAACATGTTATTACATATCTGTTACTATCTATTGGGCAAGCAGAGACAGAGGGGCTCACTTTAGTCACCATATACTTCAACATTCGTTAAGGATTGTATTTTATAAAACAAGCTAACTACGAAATTTAATTCACACTCGCTCATGCAATCAACTTCTGTCTTCAGAAATTAGAAAAGATTATGATGAGAATTTTTTGGTGATGAAAATATTTCTATATTCTTTGAAGACTCATCATAGCTAAGAAGACTCTGATTAGCGAGCTGTTCATTAATTGAATTGGAGTATTTAACAAAAATCGAAAGGTTAAATTTTCTTAGAAGTTGAAGGTCTTGTAATCTGATCATTAAGAACATGCATTTTCATGTTAGCAAGAAATGCACGTTAGGAATTCGTATAAGGAAGTAAACTGTTCTATTACGAGAAAACAGTAACTGATTTGATTTACTCATCTTCAACAATCATTGAATACGACTTTTCCATGTTCCAATTTTTGTCCCATATTTATATGTGTTCATATTCGGCCTAGATTACTCAAGCACTTAGCAATGGAATACAAGTAAAATCCCATTTATCATTATTTTCTATTTTGAATTTCATGTCTTTATTTTTTCTTCGACTTTTTGCTATAGCTCAACTATAATTCATCGGAAAGGGGCGATGTGAATAGTCAAAAAAATAAGGACATAAGAAGAGAACGACAAATAGAAGCTAATCAGCAAGACATTTCTAGCAAGTCATCATGCGGTCCAAAACCGTCTTTGACAAAGACTGATGCTTTTGAACATCTGGGGAATTCAAGTGTGACTAATTCAGCGCAATTCAATGATAAAAAAGAATCCAAAGTAAGTTTTCTTCTCACATCGCATCATCTCTACTCGACAAAAATAGACACACAATGGATTAAAGAAAATGGATGCGTCCAGTGAGTTTCATACAACTTTTGTCAATAAGAAGACGCACCGAAATCGGATGTAAGCTTGATTGTCTATTTCCCGACTTAATGACATTTTCCACAAAAAATAGGCTTCTTACTTGTTCGTGCGGACCTCTTTGTGGATTTTTATCTGTTCTTGGGATACTGATTCTTGGATTTGCAATAGCTACCATAGCTGTTGCCTTTGCGACCACATCGAAAATAACAATGACTACGCTTCCAACAAACATGACAACAGTTTCAACGATGACAACAAGTACAACATTACACTAGAAAATATCTCTCATTTTATGTTTATTTCTAAAATAAAGCCTTCACAATGAGTACAACGTCATCAACAATAACGAGTTCAAGTTCATCAACACCAACATCAATAACTACAACATCATCCGCATCAAAAAGTACCACGTCATCAACATCAACGAGTACTACTATATCGACAAGCAGTAAGTTAAAATAATAAGATTACTATGTAACTAGAGAAATTATTTAACATAATCTTTGTATGACTAAATTTCGAAACACGATGAGTTCGTTTCACTCGTCCCCAAGAGAGTCGTAGCCACATAAATCCTTATAACACTCGCTAGCTTTATCGATTTTGTCTCCCTATTATGGTCGATCATGTTGGACTGCCTGTCTGTCACGATCTGTAGGAGTCGTAATGAATGAATATTGAAGTTTATAGTGAGATAATGGTGCCTTCTTGTCAGACTTATCAGCTATGATATATATATCGAAAAAGTCACTCTATCACAGATAGTGATGAACATTTCCGCTTCATCTCAGATCATGATGAATGTGGCAAAAGTTATTCCCATGTATGACTAGAGAGATTCTATCTTATTTTGGGTTTGAATTCTGCAAACATTGCACTAAAAGTTTTTTCTAATACGAATGCATCTGGCGTGCTAATTAGAGAAATGGTCATTATTTATTGTAGCGACAACCACTATCCGAACATTATGGAAAATTATATGTGGTAATCAAACATTTATGTCTTCGTCTGATTTCATCGCTAAATGGTCATTTGAAAATACTTTTCTTGATAAGACGAACAATTTCAACGCAACACCAATAAATAGCCCGTCCTTTGTTAACTCTGGTTATGTAAACAAAGCTCTCTCATTGAGTTCAATAGCCAATCAATATGTGACTACTTCATATATTCCTTTGGTAAATGTTAGTTTTACAATCGAAGCTTGGCTTTATCCAACTGGATTTCCAAACACAATGGATCATAGTATTCTTGGTCTATGTACACATCCTGGAAGTAATCAATGTCTTCATTTAACTATTCGAAAAGTTGGTTCATTGTACAAGCTTTATATGGCTTTTTTCGGTGACAGTTGCCTTGGCAATGGTTCTGTCACCGCCAACAAATGGACTCATGTTGCATTTGTCTTTGATCAAACTACACTTATTCAGTCACTCTATCTCAATGGTGTACTCGACAATGCATGCATCGCGACAGCACCTCTCAAGAGTAGTATAGGCAATGTTACAATCGGTAGTAGTCCTGGTATTGTCTCAGCTTACGGCAACAACTCATTTCAGGTAAAATATTATCACATATTCTGACATGTTACTTGTGCAACACGTCTGCAAAAAATCGAAAATCTTCAATTTTATGAAAGAGATCTGTCTATCATACAGCATTAATATGCATTTGTCTTCATCAAAACACTCAAACCATTCTCATGACCATTGGTCAAGCTACAAACAAAATGCCAAGAAAAGATTCTTTGTTTTTTACTTTCTATAAAAATGAGTAACTACTGATAAAAAGCTTAAGGAAATAGCAATACTTGCTCATCTATAAACGATGAATCTGAGCTTCTTCAAGTTTTTTTGTCTCATGGGAAAGGTCGACATAGAAAAATAATTATTCATAAGATCATCAAAGTTTAATACGATTATGTACCTATATACGGAGGTAACTGATCAAATGAAGACTTTAACTATTTTCTTAGGGTTATATTGATGAATTAACTATTGCCAATCAAGCAAAATCATCGTGCGAAATACTAGATGATGCTTCATTGGCTGCTTGCTTCATGTTTGATAGCGGATTCGAACTGATAGATTCAGGGCCTAATGACCTTCAGAGTCAATCTAACGCATCATTTGTATCTTCTGGTCATTCTCAACAAGCGATCTCTTTCAATAGATCTGTATCGTCTTATTCTCAGACGTCGAGTTTCACTGGACTCGGTACTACCAATAAACCATTCACAATTTCTCTTTGGATTCGCCCTCGAAACTTAACTGGTGTTGTAGTTCATGTTTCATCAACAGTATCAGGTGGTGGCTGGTGCCTGCCATTCATAGGTTTTGCTACGAATGGTTCGCTTGTTGCTCAAATATGGAGTGGTATGGCAAAATCCGTCTTGGGTCCTCGTCTTGCGATAGCTTCGATGTCACACATTGTTGAAACATGGAGTTCAACTAACGGAATTCGACTCTATATCAACGGTGTCTTAGTAGGATCCGAACTTGTAGCAACTTCAACTTATTCAGCCAGTGGAGTGCAAGTTTATGTTACATTAGGTACTATTCTCAATGGCGCTGGCTTCTGTGTTGTCGGTCTTTTGGGATCAACATTGCCATTTGATGGTGAAATGGATGATCTTCGAATTTATAGTCGAGAGTTAACCGCCAGCGAAGTGAATATACTCTACTTGATGTAAGTGAAAAAGAAAAGGTATAGATCACAAATTCATAAGAAAAAGAACAGAAATACTAGAAATGATGAACGATAATAAAAAATAAATTCAGAGATACTTGAATATTCATTCACATTGGATGGTATGGGCAGGGATGAGAGATGGTGTGTGACTGATTTTGAGTGGCGACGAGACTTATGCTCACCAGCATTCACATACCTAAAGCTGCATCCTGAATGAGAAAAACACCAGAATGATTCCTATAGAAATTCTATTTGGTGTTTTTCTTTTGATCCCAAATAGTTGAAAATAAAAAGCGTGTGTATTTCAGCTGAATGCAATCATTTTGAAAAAAGAACAAGTGCAAACAAAATTATGAAAACTAATGCCTTACAGAAGGTCACATCGAATCATAATGAAATTCAAGCGTATTGCTAAAACTAACGATTCAAAAGCAATTTATAATCTTTTTGTGCCGACTAACTTTGGGATATTTTTTACTCGAGAAAAAGCTATATAAAGTTCCAATTTTTTTTCTCCATAGAACGATTGAAAAGAAATAATTCATCGTTCTCTTTACAGCTGTAAACAATTGAGCAGATAAAATATGTCTTATGTTTCAACGTACTATATTTGGAAAAGAAAATCTAATCAATAGTAACACAATAGAAATATGATGTTTCAGATATCAAAATGACTCAGTCAGTTTTCAAAAATCATCTTTAAATTTTAAATCATACAAAACAATCCAAGCATCGAACCAAAGAAATCAAAATCAAATTAATTTTTTTCTAAAAATGAAATGTTATGAAAGAACTATATTTTTTGTGTCTGATCAAAGCAAACGAGAGAACCTATTAGTGAAGCATTATAACTTAGTTTTGGTTCAAATATGAAAATGTGTTCGGCAACAAATTTCGTAGCGTACAATAGCAAAATAGATACTGTTCTCAGTTGATAAAACAGTTTTAAATTTGTCTATTGTATTAATTTTCAATGATTTTTTTAAAAGAATATCAAACAAATAAAATAAAACAAAATCAGTTCATTAAATAAGATAAAAGTTTCAAAAAGATGACGTTAATAATAATCATGATTTCGAATGGACTGATCGCCGTTGACCAAGATGTAGGCCTCGATTGATTTACTGGCAATTCATAAACATGCAATAATCGAGTAACTTCTCGTCGTGCACTTAGCAAAGCCCCATGTGCATAGCCATAAAATTCTTGGGATGTGGCTTCGCCTGCAAAGAGTAGTTTATGAGCAATTGGTTTACTAATATATATCATATCTTCATAAGTTTGGTGTTGAGATATGTACGAATATGAACCATTGGAAAATGGATCTGATTTCCAGCGTGTTACAAAGCTATCGATAGGCATCGGAATACTTTGATTTGGAAACATTTGTTGTAATGCATTTCGAACTTCTTCAACAGCTTGCTCATTTGTTAAGGTTTCTAATCGATTGGCTTCATCACCAATAAAGAAACAGAACAGAGCCGGTCGGTCGTTCCATTTATTAGCGTTAGCCCAAACACCAAAAGGAGATGGCTTTGATGAAATACGCATAAAATAATAATTTGCCGAATTCCACCAAGCTGTATCCCATACTAAAATAACTTTATTCATAAGTCCATATCCAAGTCGGTCGATAGCATTCAATTTCCATTGTGGTAATGGAGGATTGAATAGAATCTGTCGACCTTTTAATACACCCAATGATACTGTTAAAAGGACATATTGGGCACGATAGATATGCCCATTTGTAGTTTGTACTTCAACTGAATCTTGATCGTAAGTTATGTTATTTACGATTTGTCCAAAACGTATGTCATCATCTCGAAAATCTTTGGCTATGTAGTCGATAACTGCGTGAAAACCAGTATCATGAAATACAGGTTCTACACCATAATAAACACCGGTAATATCAACAAAATTCTTTGCATTAATCTTACTCATTTCGATGCCTTCATTACCTTCGATAGCCGTATGTAGATAAGAGAAAAATGCATTTCGCTTTTCGCCAGTCAAATTTTTCATGGTAGAAAATGTTTCAGCATATTGCTGAAGAGATTGTTGTCCTCCCGATAATTTAGTCGTTTCTTCAATGTAATCAATATATTCATCAAACCATATTTCTAGACTTTCTGCTATGGTCTGATCAGACATATTGAAAATTTGTACATCACTGATTGTTGTACTGCGAGTAGGAATTTTAGCTTGCTGGACAAGGTCCCATAGAGGATTCGATAGAAAACCAATTGGTATAGATCCATTAACACCATGAAGCCATGCTGCACCTAAATCTAGTACGTGCCCATTTTTTGACTGAACCGACCAGATTCGACCACCAGTACGATTTCGTGCTTCAATGACAAGTGTTTGTATTCCATTCTGTTTCAATAAACGAGCCGCTTCTAAGCCTGATATACCTGCTCCAATAACTAATACTTGTGTTTGAGTAATATCTTTTGAATCAAACACTTTTTTCCATTCTGTATAATCATTTTTCTAAATAGCAACATCGGACTCAAACAATTATAATGAATTAGAAAAAAGACCCATTATTTAATCACTTATATACAGAGTAGCTAAATCTCTTGATTTAGTTCGGAGACTTCTAGTTTTTAGATTTTTCTCCTGATTTTATAGACTTTTATCACATTGAATTTTAGTGGCATTGAGAATCCACAAGACAAAAGAAAAAAGCTTTATAATCATTCGATCGACGTAGCAGTCAATAAGAAAATACGTCACATCTTCTTGAGTTCTCTAAAACTACAACTATCAATTTTTATAAACAAAATCCATGTCAAAAACTTGTATGATTTTAGGTAAAAAAGAAAGCGCTTACTGTGTATTTATCGAATGCTTTCGTTCCAAGAAGATGATCTTAGTCGAGTGTCTCATTCACCACAGAAAAATCTTTCGCTACAGTCTTTACCACGACTATTAAAAATTCCTAATGCTGTTTTCTTGAAAATCATTTCAAAATCGATCTTTACTTCATCATCACCTAACAAAGTCACTAAACAGTAGTTTTCAAAGTTGTGAGAAGTGCTCTGTTCACTAATACACGTGTGTCGAAATAAGATTTATCATCGGAAAAATATAGTCATGGTGCAAAAGTGTTACGAACGACGTAGATAATCGTTTATTATTTAAATATAAGCATGTTGTTTCGGTTCAAATTGATTTTTATATAAAAGTCATTCTATATTTGGTCACTATATTTTGATGAATGAGCGTAAATGACTGGCAGTATAGCGTCTATCCAATTTTCTTTTTTCTTATGTATCACTTAGAGGAAAACTTTTACCGTTACCAATTTAGCAACAGAATATAGCAAGCTCTTAAGTGAATGAAAATGTGAGTTTTCTTTCGAGAAAAAACCGCAAAATGGTTTTCCGATTTGAATAAAAGTCATTCGGTATACTTCTCGATCTTGAAATTTAAATTCGACGACCGTGCTTATGTATCATCTGACTGGATGTCCAGCTGAATTGTCACCAGTCTGACAGAATGTGGGTGTGGATGGGTGTGCATGTGTGTTTGCATATGAGTATATGTTATGAGTCTTCTCTTTTTAGTGTTATCAGTTGATAAAGCGTCAAAGTCAATATCTTGTAGTATATTAGGAGAGAGAAGAGAGGTGCACTCTCGTTTAATCGTCTCATCATTACTTGGGGAAGAGAAACAAATTATTCTTTTTGGTCCACATTATTCACTTTGAATCACTGGGAACCACTTTTTCCATCTCCGTCAGCAATATAAATGTTTGAGAACAAAGACAGCTATAGAAAAATATTCCTTTCAATATATGAACTAATGCGACTCGAGATCAAAGCCACCTTTGTTACTCTATGTTTCTTTGTTCACCTTTTGAATCCATTCTCCTTCATGATTGATCAATATAATATGCGCTTTCCCATGTCTTGAGTCACTTTTCTCTTTTCTTCATTATTTTCTCTTTATATTGTACCGTTGTTTTACACGTTAGTAGTATATTATCAGCACACAAGCACATGTAAAACAAATATCTATCATGTCACTGTCACATGTATTGCAGTATTTACTATTTTGAATAAAACTCAGTCCTATTCTTAGTTGCTCTTTAGAACGTCACTGTAGATTCTTATTTAGTCAAATCATCTGGCTTGCGTCAGCAGAACGATCGATAATGAAATTATTGACCGAGTTTGCTGAAAGCCGACATAACTCGAAGCCACAGTATTTCGATATTACTTCCTCACATGTGTGTGCAAAGTGTGTGTCGTCTCCCCAATCACACCAGTATACCTACATTGCACACTCACATTCACATCCTACTCGAGAAAATTCGTGCTTGCCCATTTCTGAGAGTTCTTTCCGATTCTAATGCCTTTTGTCCTAAACACTACTTCTATATACTTATGTTTTCGTGTACTACAGACTTGCATTTCAATCCAGTTCTTTTTCTACTCTTGATGTTCTCAAGATATTTTCTACATTCTAACAAGATTAGTATGATATTGTTTTTCTATTCTTCATCATTATACTTACATGCACGTGTTTATTTTGAAAATGACCTGAAACAGTACAAAAGAAGAAAAATAATCGTAGAAATTTCATTGTTGATATAGAGCGAAAATATAAGTCAGTATGACAGAATAAAGACATATATATACTGTAGATATATATTTAAATAAAAATGGTAAGATACTGTAATCTTTTCTTGTTTGATTGTTATTTATGACGCACAACTTCGCCTAGCAGCAATATGGCTAGTTCTACCAACATAAAACAGAAGAAAAAAAAGAAGAGTAAAAAGAAAGATAACAAATACGTAAATGTATATGATGATATTAAGACAAATTCATGAAACGAACGATTCTGTTTGTAAATGAAAGATAAAACAGAAGTTGAATTTATCTTGGTTACTGTGAGTTATGATCATAGAGTGTGAGTAAACATGATTAAATGTAAGCTGCCATTATAGATACTGAATGGATGCGGGTGAATGTTTTTGAATGTGAGAATTGCAGAATGGTTAATGCCTTGTTCAACCTATTTGAAGTAAATAAAGCCCACTTGCACTTGCCTATCCTCACACCATTAACATCCTGAAACCGTCATTCATCCTCACTCACTCATGCTTACACATGCTGACACTTACGTATATATAAAATTGGTTACCGTTTAGATAGCGTGCGACGAGTTGATAAATCACTATCATATTCAATGAATACATGAAAAATAGTAGTGACACTCACTCTAAGCACCGGAAATATATTGAACGATTTACTAATGCTTTTTAGTCATCTAAGAAATACTTTCGATAAGGATGATAGATTTTATTTAAAAATTATAACTTTAAGAAGGTAAATCATTATTTCCAAAGTCATACTTTGTCGATTAAAGTGGCATTTTTTTTGTTTTAATACTTCATTTTAAAAATATTTTTGATGTGATCGAATAGTTCTTGCTCTAAGAGTGCATTATTATTGCTAACAAATGATTTTTGGTGCTGGTCCATTTTTCTGTGGATTTAATTTCTTATTCATTTTTCTCTCAAGTATCAATTTCATATGCAAACTCCTCTTTTTATTACATATAATGTGTAAGTGAAAACATTCGATGTCTAAATAGAAAAGGTAAAAAGCAAATCCCCATGATACAATCTTATGAATTAAAGATTCTCAATTGTTCCAAACTCGTGTTTTCAATAAAAAGTTATCTGAATTATATAATTGGTTCTATATGCAGATAGTACTGTGTATTTTTTCTAATACGTCTAACATATTCTACTAGAAGAAGAATTTTAAAATGTTGAACGTATAAGATAAGATGCTTTCATGATTTTTATCTTTTTTCTTCGACTTTTTTTTTCAAACAAAAATAATGTTCTCTTATCCGAAAAATATGCCTCGTCACATAAGCAACCATAGAAAATATAATACTTCACAGCAAGATCCAATATAATGAAGCATTATTTTTCATATAAAACTGAGTTCATATGTAAAACGATCGTTTATAAATCATATACAATCGACTATTCGACCCGTTACCAACTTGTACAAAAAAGAACAATAAATATACTACTCAATTATTGAACTATCAGTCTGCAGATTTATATACCTTAAATTTGTGCTCTAGTACAACTATTTGAATTAGTGAGTCGAACTTTTTTTTTTTGTTGTACGAAAAGGGAGAAAATTTGAAAGAACATATCTAATAACAACAACGAAAGCAATAATCGTTCTAAACTACCATGAAGATAACTCTCATATACATCAGAATGATATTCACATGCTTTTTGTGTTTTTTTGGCCTTTGTATTTTCTCATCCGACACTCTGTTTGCTTTAAGCAACTTTACACATTAACTCTTGTAGCTGATAGGTTATCAGTCAATAACGTAAGTAGAAGCTCTTTCTGAAGCTTTTAAAAAGTAAAGCAACGTGTGCGTCAGCGCAAAGTGCATATCAGAGGCCGAACAAAACTGATTCAAAGTCGAATTATTCTTGAAAGATAATGTCGAACTGTATCGCATCCGAAGTAATTTTCGAAAAGCTCGTGAACGTGGACAAACGTATAAGAAAAATGATTGATTGAGTTATAATTTTTTTTCCTATAAAACGGCGATGCTTTAAGGAATGATCAAATGGCCTTTAATCGATTGTTTTACATCAGAGACCAAAAAGGAACCAAACTCAAAATGGTACAACACGGTTCAATTCGGTCTCTGGTGCACGGGTGTAGGAGAAAAGCCGAGTCACATTTGCACCCACACTCACACCCTTCATGTGAAAGTCGTTAAACTAAGTTTTTTATCAACATGATGTTGGAAGTTCTCATGCTATCATTAGTTGATCGTTTATGTTCTGATAGGTGCATTATATTTTTCTTAGGTCGAAGAGCTTTGAAAGAGGATCTTATCAAAAAATTATGGATGAGTCTTTTTAACTGTCTGTTTATAACACATGGAATAACAAGTTAAGTTGTTTTTGGCTTCCTGAACTATTCATATAATTTTTAGAAAACATATTAATGGCATAAAAAGCAAAGAAAATATGACTAAATACACAGATTGAGCATCTGATTTTGTAAATCATATTTACGATCGAAAAATACAGCCATGCATAAAATTATAAGAGAATTGAAGTCTGATGAAACCCATACCTATTATATAAGGCAAATTGAATGTTTACTTTATTCAACGCATAATTTGTTATCTAAATCAAACAAACTTAGAATAGACAAAAAATTTTTTTTTGTTTTTGTTCTGGCATTCAGTCAATTTCAAAGACATGTAAAGAAAAACGCAAATATCCAACATCAGGAGACTAGTTTGTCTTGTTTTTTTTTGAATTTCCTTTTTTAGTAATTGCATAAAATGTATTTAATATTCCAGCGACAACTAATCGTGCTAAACCAACAGTTAAACATTGCGATATAAGTTCTAATGTATTTGTGATTGGTTGAGCACCACTTGTTAAACATTCTAACAAAAATCCATTTATACCATACCAACATGAAAATGAACCTTTTTGTGTAGACATAATTATTTTTCTTGCTACTTCTTCAGCTGATAAAATACCAGATGTGTCATTAATCAATCGTGTTTCTATTGGTTGTGTTTTTCTTTCTTCAATCAATCCTGGTGTATCAGTATCAGGTGGATAAGCAACAGTAACATATATATTATCACGAGCTAATTCCATTTGTAACGATTCAGCTAAACCTTTTAAAGCAAATTTTGTTGGACAATAAGATGTATAACCGTATACACCCATTTGACCAGCTTGAGAAGAAACAAGAACTATACGACCAGAACCAAGCTGACGCATTGATGGAAGACATGCTTTCGTACAAAAAACAGCACCCAAATAATTAATACGAACTAGAAAATAAAATAGAGCAAATACGTTCAATTATTTCGAATAAGAATAATGTTCGAAGAAGTAATATTCTCAAAGTTGAAATAGAGAAAAGAATTGTGAAAAAAA